CTGCTTTTTGGTTACTGCCCTAAATGGGCAGAGTGCAACTAAGTGCAGGAAGTTTTGGAGAAGAAGGTTGAAAATCTACAGGAGTATAAAATACTTCTGCTTCAGACAAAACAGCTGCAGAGAGACGATCCTGCTGGGCCACAGGGACAGCTGTTTGGGGTTTAAGCCGATGTTAAGCTCAGACTCTGACCATATAATGCCTCCCTGCTCAAAACATTGGATACGTTTTTTATATCTGATCTGAATAAAGTTGTATGTTTTATCTAAATCAATAAAATAACAGGCAATCAAATAATCAAAATCAAAAGATCAAAATCAAGAGAACTAATACTTTTCTACATTTTAAATGCAATAATTAAACTCATAGCTGAGGGTAATGTGGAAAAACTAAATAAATATTTCTATTCTCCTGTGACACAGCAAAGCGAATAAACTTTTCCTGTATTATTAAATTTAATGGTCATCAGAATCAGAAATACTTTAATAATCCCAGAGGGAAATTACTTTTGTTACACGCTCCAGTTACAGTTTTATATAATATATACACACATCCAACTATGCAATATAATAAAGATAAAAAAATAAGATTAAAAAGTAATAAAATATATACAAATATAGCTCTTCTGCATATATATCTGTACGTATATCTATGCATATGTAAAAACTAAATCCAAATAAAGTGAAAATCCAAGTTCAATTCAATGTTATGCTTCAGTTTTAAGAACATTTCTGAAGTGCGATTAACGTTACTCATTCAATGATCTTTGCATCTCGACTGAAGCCCATTAAAAGCATGATTATGTTTGTAAAACTATAGTTATGTCTTTTTCCTTAGCTTTACTGTAGTCATACAGTCTAAAGTCCCTTTACAGCTCTTGATAAACGTGTGTTAAGTTTGACTGATGAACTTTGCTCTAAAGTTGTGGAATGATCTGTCCTCGCAGATCAGGCCGAGTCAAAGAATATTTTTAAAACACATTTATTTGCTGAAGTCTTTTGCATAATGTGATGGTAACTATTTTAACCATTTCAATTAACTTCTCCACTCATTTTTTCGCTGACCTGGGTTATTAAATTCATTTAAATATAAAAGGTGGTATGTTAGAACCTCTGTGTACCTGAAGCTGTGTGAAAACAAATGACTAAAGATTCGGATTAAGAAGAGCCTTTGGTATTGTTATGCTCATGCAGAGGCAAACATGCGCAACAGTTGTCAAACCATAAAGGTGTTAAAACATCTTGACCTAAAAAAGATAACAGATGAGGAATAAAATGCAGTAAACAGTAACAGTGAGAACCTGCCCCACCCACGCCTTGCAGCTCCTGCACCACGTTGCCGGCCCTCGGACACAGGATGCTCTCTATTGTGATTTAGTGAAAGTTCACCAGCAGGACAGGCTGTTCCCTTTCAGCTTCCTGAGGAAGAAGAACATCTATAAGGTCTTCTTCACCAGGCCTGATGTTACAGATGTACAAGACCTAGAAAGTTGATGTCAATATGTGAGCGACCTGGACTGCTTTAAATTCAGGACGAGCTTCTTGGTTCTGCTGGTCTTTTGGAATCAGTCATTGTGTGAATATTACCGGGTCAGATGGATCTCTTCTCTGTAATGAGTCTTTTTGTCTGTGATGATCGGGGGGGGGATTCACCATTAGGCAATACTAGGCAGTTGCCTAGTAACCTGACTCTGCCTGATGGATTTGCTCCGCATATCCATCTGGAAACCTTCCGTTGAAGTAATTTTGGGAAGGGGCGAAAATACTGGTTAGCTGATTGGCCTATGTTGGGGATAGACGGGCCAAATAAACCAATCAGACCACCTAACCATATGACGTACTAACAGAGT